TGGAACGAATTTCCCACGGGCTGTTCTTAATACATTCAAATCTAAGCGAAAACTATCCAGAAAACTATGTTGAAAATGACAAAACTCACAAAATCGAAGATTTAATCGTAGACAAACCATACAAGTGATTTATTAACCATGGCATGGTATAAACAAACGGAAGAACGCTTTAAGCTTACCAACGAGTACGAATCGATCAAATCAGAATTTCAGCTGCGTTAAAATTGTCCATAAACATTTAGAAGATATCTATAACGCAATCATTGTGTTGTCTCAAAATTATGCTCTAGAGAACAATTCAGTTTTCGAAAATTCAGGAAAACGAATACAGCGTTTCCTCAAATAAAAAAAGGACCCGCTTACAATGTAGGATAAATTGGTGCGTATGACCCATATCTTTCGTGATATTTGTATCAATGGGGACTATATTAACTGACGGAAGAGATATAAACTGTATATTTACCCCTGGATTTTATTTTTCCCATGCTTGTATTGCCACTGATTTGTTTAGGGAAAGTATATTTACCATAGTTTATATTATAAGGGTGATGTTAGTTAATAAGATGTAAGAAAAAGAATTAAAGGCCCAATATGCCTCAGAAACGGTTTTGTTTTTATTTCTCAAAGGCTCGTTATTTTTGGTGTGCTGTTATAGTTTTCCACAAAAGATACTCATTGGCCAATTTCCTGAACTGTCTTTTGTTTCTATTGTTTTCTGACAATTAGTGCAAATATAGTGATTTAGTAATTTGTACGGAAGTCAAAATACTACTTTGTTTACATTTTTCTACTATTATGACAAATAATTCCAGTTCCAGTGCTACTTTCTTCAAGTAATAAGCATCTAACATGCTTTAAAACCATTATTTAAATGTTATGAAACTCATGTTTCCCATTTCTATAGAAGAACAAATTTATTTATTTCTGAGGCATAATCTACCTTTAATAAGGCACGCAAAATTGCAGAACAATGAATGTTATAGGAGTGAGAGGCAAAGTTGTGGTTAATTTCAAATAAAAATCTGATAAAATCCTATAAGAAAAGATAATTTTTTAAAGACAAGTCAAGGATTCTTTATTAATAGATTATATAACAAGTTGTTTTTTTATAATGAGTTTGAAGACCTCATTTGAAGGTACTTTTTACTTTGCATAATGAAGTTGGTCAGTAATGCATGGACTTTCTATCATATATATTCGTTTGCTCTAAACAAATCGTATAACTTGAAAAAGGGAATAAACGTGTACGTCGTGGTAGGTCTGTAATACATGCTGATTATTTTATATCGCCTCTTGGGACGGTGAAACGTTTAAAGAGGTTTTCTTTCAAATTGATTTTTAAAGTTGGGTGATTCAAAAAAAAAAGTGATATATTTTACTGTTGCCCAAGACAGATATAGCATTCCCCCCGGGTAAAAATTTCAACAGTTTAACAGAAAATTTTAGGGAGAGTTATTGCCCTAAATATTTAAAATTGAGCGAAAGGGATGTTGTGTTTTATCTCATTGTAAATAGCATTTCAGGCATGTAATTTTCAACTAATAGAATTCATCCTAGTTGAAATAATTATAACGAGATCGTATTTTTTGTTTTGTGTTAATTGAGGAGATAGTGGTTAGGTTCAGCGTGCTTTGACCGTGTAAATTATTAGTCTAAAAAATGTAATTAGCTCTTAACTGCTTGCAGTGGGAAATAAATATGAACAAAAAAATGACCCATTGGAAAACTGGTATCTAAACCGATGCACATACTCAAAAGGATGGGCCAGTGAAATCTGATTTAAACGCACCGGGTTTTTATCGATAAAGCGCGTGCGACGCGCTATAGCGCACGTGTTTGATTAAGCTAAATGATTGGTTAGTTCGTTGTAAAAGATATGACGGCTGTACGGTATTGTTTGTTAATGCCCATTTTCATTAGTCAGTAAGGCGTATAGTAATTAGGGATAATGTATTCTGTGTAGAATGATAATATATCTAACCGGTCCTCAACTTTGTTATTCCTTTCTACTACCACAAACGATGTAACAGAGCTAATCTTTTTATCTTTGGTATTTTAGATATTTTAACAACGCTATACTGTCAATCGGTTAAAGCTAGGATGCTGTTTCAAGTTAATTTTGATTTTGGTCAGATTTAATTTTAATTTAATAGGAAACAATAGAACAAAGTTCAAGCATTTAAATAGCACTGCTAAGTATGAAATCAAAGAAGATTTTATTCATTATTATTCTCCATAAAGTATATAAAAAAAGAAAATCCATATGTGCCGTGATATTTTTTATTTTTATTTTGAACGAATAAAATATTTTTAATACTTATTCCATAATAACAAATATTATTTTTGTCCGATTAAAAAAAAAAGTTTTAATACAGGCTATTGTTAGGAATTTTAAATTGTTTCTGTAACATGATTCATCACATTCCGTTTTGTCTATACTTCCTTCCAATATCATGACATAGACGAAAGATACAAATAGACGTTTATCAAGCAAATAACAGACAAATTTCTTTAGATTTTCATAATAATGAAACATTATTTCTTGCTGTCAGAAGCTGTTTCATACCATTGTTTTATTTCTTTAGCGTTTGTCTTTGTAAACAATTTACTTCTCGAAAAAAGCTCTCGCACGCGTATGTTTTGTAATTATAAAAGAAAAGTCATTATTTCTGGTAACATTCTTATAATTTCATACATAAAGCGCAAGGACGCATAACTTCCCATTTTCCTAAACATATTTGTGTGCATATCTAATTTTGACAATTTATTTCTGTTAAAGAAACTTTCAATTTTTGTTTAAACAATTAGAAAAGCTTATTTTTTATATAGAAAAAAGCAAACAGTCATCACCACCATAATCATCATCATCAGCAGCAGCAGCAGCATTATCATAATCATCATCATCATCACAACAAAGACCACCATCATCATCAACATCGCCAACATTATCAACAACAACATCAACAACAACACTGTCAACAATAAGTTCATCATATCTACATAATTATATTATTTTATAATTATTGTTAGAATTATTGATATTTCAAATGTTAAATTATTATTGTTCTTGCTGTTATTATTATTATTTTTAAAAAATATTGTTGTTATTATTATTATTGTTATTATTATTATTATTGTTATTATTATTAAAATTATTATAATTATTTTTATTATTATTATAATTATTATTATTATTGCTATCATCATCATCATCATCATCATCATCATCATCATCATCATCATCATCACTATAAATATTGTTATTGCGATTATCAATGCCATTTTCACCATAATGAACCTTTCGTCTATTATAAATCTAAAACATTGCAAAAATTACAACTCATTTAATATGATATTCATCACAATTACGCGGATGTTCATTTATCATCAAGTGTTTACAAAATAATGGCTATGAATATAATAATATAATATTATATAATATATAATACATATTTTATTATCTTAATGAACGTGCAAGTGGCATAAAAAATATTGCTTTGGCATATTAACTTATATAAAAGCAATTTGGTCTTTTTTCCCGTTATGTTATTTCTCATAAGAAACAAAAAATGAATTTGTAAACAAAACAGATTTATGTGTGCGTCTGTGGTGTTTTCTATGTTTTGGAAATTCTGGCGCATTTACGACGGATGCTTTTCGGAACAAATAGTGATGTATTTTTTTTATTTTAAAAGTGAGCTCTTAATGAAATAAACATGTTGGTGTGTTTGACATATACGTATCAATAATCACTTCGAAAAAAGAAACTAAGAAAAGACAGGACTGTGTTGGAATCCAGAGACTGAGAAAGAAAAAAAAGCATGCAATCAAATTGTGAAGCACGCTAGGGGGGAACCTGAAAAAGCTGTCAGAATACCTCTGTTTATCCTAGATAGATTATCTAGATATGCCAAATCGGTTGCCCAATGGGCATAAAATTGACAGTGTGTATAACTATAAAACAATATGCTTAAGTTAAAACACAGTCACCGCCCGCAATGCTGAGCGCGGCTTAGGTAAAAGGTGCTTACAAAACACAAGAACACTCAATTTCAAGATTAAGAGAGAACTCGCATAAATACCTGGTCTATTGTTTCTCAATTTAACTTTGGCAAGTGTGCTTGGTAATATAAGTTTACAACCCTATAAAATAGATCAGCACCGAAAATAATTGCATGCATTAAAATAATGATATTCAAATAAATATCTGAATATTTTATTTCATTGTTACGACGCCGTTTATTTTTTTTTTCTGAAGCATCCTCGATTCAATGGTTATAAAATAAAAACTATTTCTAACGTATCAACGGAATGTAGTCTTAAGCGCATACAAAAGTTATGCGGTTAGTTCCCAATTAAATCGTTTTAATTTGAATTTTAGGCATATTATTTCTTTTTATATTTCATTTATATATGAATAGGTACTGAGCGCAAATATTTATAAACAAAACTGATACCGGGGGTTTAAATTTATATTTACATCATAAAAATCTGGGAATGTTTATCGCAAAAGATTTAAGATTTCACAAAAGCTTAAAAAGCCTTAAACGCGCTCATTTAAACTTCGTTATAAAGTTAACTGTATTGTCCCATGCCAAAATAGTGAGGTTAATAATATAACCCTTACAGAAGACAAAAGTAATAAAAAGAGATGAACGAGAAGTTGTTAAAAATGTTGAAGAAAAAGAGATAATGCATATTTCTTACCAAATTTAACGTCAAACATACAGATAAAAAAAATAAAAATTTCCTATTTTTTTCCGTATTCCAGTAGCTTTTTTTTTCTCCCATTTCGTTCTCCATACATCATTAGCATTTGTAATCGTCAGTAAACATAGTAAGACACTTTGTAATTCAAAAATAAATCTCATTTCAATCCATCACTGATAATAAGGGTAGAATTTTTTCATCACGGCACCCAGTGGCTTGCATCATAGCAAGTATATTGCAAAATAAGAGACCAAAAATAAACAATTAAGATAAAGAAAACGGCTACCCACCTAGAATTCCTTACGCATTTAAGAGTTAATCCAAATCACTTTATTTCCACAATAAATTAGCCCTTTCACTTATTCAAGAAGATTTCCCCTTTTTACACTTGTCACGAAAAATTGTAAGTCCTCGAACGTCTCCCGGAAAAAAATCCAGCCTTTAAGAAAACTATTTTAATATTAGCCGCCAAACTTTTTTAATTCGTTTTAATCCAGTACTTTAAGCGGCTAAATTTTTTGTCGTGATTAATGCAAATTAAACTGTTCAAGTTGTTTTTGTTGTTGTCTCCTATTTGAATAAAAAAACTGTGTATATTCTAACACGAGTTCCCTAACACTATCGTAGGAAGTTCAGTAATATACAGTACTTCTTTACAACGAGAGGGGAAAAAAATCCAAATACATCTTTGCGCGAGTATCAAAGTTAACGGAGTGGTTAGTATAGAACGGTAGGAGAGTTAGATATATTAGTGTTGAATAGGCATAGAGAAGTATCGAAGTAGAAATTTTACATCGATATAAACCCCCGCGTTCATTCTGTTTTACCGCATAGACAACTGCTACGGCCTTTTTATTAATTCATTTTGTTCTGAAAGTTTTCTAAAGAGTTATTTCCTTTATTTCTAAATGAAAAGGAAAATCAGAACTAACGTGCATAATGCGATAATCGTGTAAAATGACTGGATCGCTTAATAGCGAAAAAGTTAGAACACGAACCACCGTGTGAAAACATTAACATTTGACCACAAATGGATTAATAACTTTTATAATCGAATATGACATTGATGTAAAACTTAGTTTCCTTTTTAAAGAATACTAGGGGAAAACGATTTTTTTTTCCTAGTTAAATCTTAGAAATTAAAAAGTGTTTAAGAGAATAAGAAAACGTGACGATAATTAAACCGTTCAACATTCATTGAATACGCAATATTTCAAAATACTGTTACTTGTTACATTGTTGCTTCTGATATATGAAAGTAAAGACAGATTTTTTTTTCAGTCAGTAGACACCAACACAATGCGGGCGGGATAATTTTAACGTTCACCTGTCTACATTGTTTTAATTACTACATGTATATGTTTTTTATAGATGTTATATTGTTCAGTTTTGACAAACGAAATCAATGCTATCGTACACTTAATGATACAATAGAGTTGGATTATGAGTTTGATGATGTTGTTGCTGTTGCTGATCTTGATAATGATGATGATGATGAAGACGATGATGTCGATGTGGGCAACAGTGATGATAATAGTGAAGACGACGACGACGATGATGATGATGATGATGATGACGACGACGACACTGATGATAACGACAATTATGATGATGGTGACGGTGGTGATAACTATGATGACGATGATGATGATGATGATGATAACGAAAATGATGATGATGATGATGATGATGATGATGATGATGATGATGATGAAAGAGGTGATGATGATAATGTAACGATGATGATGATGATGACGTTGACATGGTGATAATTGTTTTCGTTGTTGCTTTCGCTGCTCTTGCTGCAGCTGCTGCCTTTGATGATGCTATCATGATGATCATCATCACATTATCATCATTTTCATCATCACATCAACATCATCATCATCACACTATTATCATCACATCACCATTACCATCATGACATAATCATCACATCAACATTATCATCATCACATCCTCATCTTCATCATCATCATCACATCACCATCATCATCATCATCAAGCAAACACCATCATTATCATCATCATTATCATCATCATCACATTTTAATTGTTTTTGCCTACGAAATCAAATGCTTATAATCGAACAGCATTGTGAAATAACGATAAAACAAAGGAGAACTTCTATGTAATTCTTAAGTTAAAAGATAAGAGTAATATCAGACAGGGCTTTTGACGGGCATAAAAATAGTTATTAACTTTGAACTGAAATCATTTAGAAAAAAACTAATATACTAAAATAATTTTCTAGCAGAGTGACAATCATTGTTGCTCTTACTTGCTGTGCATTTGCCCCCAATATTCTGTAAATTCGTGCATTTCTTATTATACCTCGAGGATTGATACTTGAAAAGTAGTCCGGAAAGAAAAGAATAATTGAGATTTAATATTGTCTGTAATTAGGATAAACTTTCTAAGATATTTTGTTATTTTGGGGCCTACTTTATAATATGCACGGAGGCAGAATTCATTCGTCAAGTCATTCATTTTATATCCACAACAGGTGGTGATTTGCTGGATAAATAAAATGAAGTATTTCATAATTGTACGCTATAAATCATTTTTATAAAAAGGAAGCAAATTTTTATGTAAACAATAAAACCATACTTAAGAAACTTATCTTCACAATCACCTCAACGGCTTAATATAGTCTCTTTGTATACTTATTTTCAATAAAGAAACGAAATTGTATTAACTTGCCGAAAACAAATATTTGTAGTCATATAATATAATAATGCCTGGTCTTCAATGGTACTCAAGTGTCATTAAAGAAAAAAACTTGCAGAAAAGTCTATATACTGTAATCAATACATCACCGGATTATACCGTACAAGTGGCCGGAGACGGAATTTAGCGGATAATTTGCCGAACCCTTTAAATGCTCTAATGTCATTTACTTTTTCATTATTAATTTGACATTGAGTAATAGTTGTAATAGGATTATAAGGGGTTTAGGGCTGTTTTGTTGATGTTTCAAAACAACATATTGCACGGATGTCTGTCTATATTCAAAGTTTTAATCACGCCGAGTAACTATGATGAATTTCATTAAGGACGCGGAGAAAATCAAGTAGATACGTCATTTATTTGATAACCGGTGAGAAAGATAAATACAAGTGAAATATCTTCGTGTCCACTTCATATAATTGATTAACATTATTTTATTACATGTTTTGCAGTAGATTACTGAATTATAACGGTTAATTATATTCTGATAATTTCACAGTAATGATTACCAAATATAATTTCACAGTAGCCGAACTATATTTGGCGTAAAAATAAAATATTTATCATTAATGAATGTTTTTTTCAGCGGAAATGTAGTCAATCATAATAACAAATGTACGTGATAACTGTAGTTCGTAAATATTTACGAACGTTGTGCTGAAAAACATCTAAAATCTAAAAATAATCATGGAATTATATTTTTGCTTCAACATTGTGACGTCATTATTTGATGACGTCATGAAGATAAGGCATGAAGTTACGCGGCAAAAAATCAGTAAAATGGTGTAAAAATCGTTAAAAAATCATGAAATAAACAGAAAATTTGTTTGTTTTACATGTAAGATGCAAATAATATTTCACTCGTGAACCCCAGCTATTATATTTTCACTCGTGGCTACGCCACTCGTGGAAAATATTGCATCTGGTGTTCACTCGGTGAAATATTTTTCGATCTTACACTGAAACAAACAAATATCCTCTATATCATTTGGTACAGTTATTGACTTAAGCCGCTAAGGTCAATATACTTTATTTATGAATATTGCATTTTTACAAATTGGAAATAAGGACCGACCGTCTCAAATAAGCGACACGTCGATAAGAGTTGTAAATTATAAAGACGGACTGTTAAGATCGAATGTTTAATTATATTTAATGAAAAGAAAATATTGATGAAAATCAGCATGGTGTTTTGTAGGCGGCAAATTAAATAGTTGATCCCCACCCCCTTTTAGTATCCTCAAGTATCGACAATAATTTTGTTAACTCTTTAACTCTGTAACTCTTTATTAAACAACATTTTAAAAGAATGGGAAGAATTGGTGGGACTGAATGACTAAGTTTATAAGGTCGTCGGCCCTTCACCTCTGTGGTTTCGAATCGAAACAGGGACTTTTGATTATTTTCATGTGAGGGAGATATCCAGTTAGCTTGAGCACGTCGGTGCTTCTATTCAGTTGCCCGTTTCATGCTGGGGGAATAATGCAAGGAAGGGCAACAAGGTTTTTCGTCAAGTGGAAAGCCGCTATTTAAACCGTTAATTGGGTGCAACGTAAAAACCAAAAGCAAAAGGAAAAAAATTTAAGAATGGGAAATCAACATCGAACGCCAGAAATTATAAGAAAGGATAAAGTAATGACAATTTTGTTCAAATTTTTCATTCGTTGAGACCCATACGTTGGAAAACTCGGAAATGACAATTCTTATAAATAACTGCCCGTATACTTACTTACTTATCAATTTATGTGAATTTTTGACATTAGTACGTTTAATCTCTATCTCTAAAACTTGCAAACATGGAAAAATATGCAAAATCTCTCAAAAAATGATTTATATTCATTTTTAAGTATATGTCCGACAGCGTATAAAAGAGGAGTGTAAGAAAATACGATATTCCTAAATCAGACACTATCAGTGGTTACTTTCTATTATAAACTGTTATTTCGCGGATTTAAATGTTAAAAAGATGTTTGCGTTTGAAAATGTTGAAATTCACGAGTTAAGGTATAATATTCAATTGCCAGTAGGTATTTGATGGCGTCGTAATGATAAGTGCGTTAGAGATTCAGATATTCTTGTCTCAGACACTTGCAATGGTATTTGCCTATTATTACCTCTGTCGGCAGATATGAAAAAAGAACGAAATGAGCAAACGATAAAGATTGGCAAAAAAGTATATCAAATTCCTATAATAAAAGTTATTATAATTATTATAATTCTGTTACTGTTGTATTTTTTCTTGCAGCTATACCAGAACTTTTTCAAATTATTGTCTGAATACGCGTAAATCAATGTTGAAGATAAAAATATATGTTTTATTTTGGACGTTTTTTTTTTTTGTGTTCTTTTTTTTTTGTTTTTTTTTTTTTGAAAAAAAAGCAAAATCAATAAATCAAGTTACAGCAGCGTATGCAGATTTTATATAAATTGTATGGAAATTATACAATAGCTGCATTGTTTCGAGTTAACAGTTCAGATTTTCTTGGAATATTTAGATAAAGCGCTTACAGAAATAGAAAATAACTGAAAAGAAGTTATTTTATTGTCTTGTGTTCGTTTGGCTACTAAGTAGATAAGTAGTGGGTTTTCAATTAGCTTTAAGTGGGTCCTTTGAATGAGATAGCACCCTCTTAACAAATATATAAGTATCCGATGGTGACATGATATAACGGTAGCCTCAAGTGCAGTTTTGATCACCACCTTTGGCAGACATAGGTACAATAACATCAGTAAAGATGAAATAGTTAACGGCCGTTCAATGTAACACTTACGGATAAGAGTTAATCTAGGGAAGCCAGCTTTTTATTTCAAAACATATTGTGACGAGACATCCTTAAAATTATGTCATAAATGCGTCGCCGAAAATTCAAAGTCTTAGCACATATATTGGTTATTTGACTTTTACGGAAATGCGGCGCAAGGGGGCGTGGACGGTTAACTTTTGCAACTTTTTAATTGTACCGTCCATGAACAGGCTCAATAAAACCGAGCCTTTAACATTTTAATTCTGTTTTTCTCTATTCTATTTAACTAGATATGTCAATTACTTAAGGTTTCATTTAAGCAATAATTCAATGTTGGCCTTTAA